GAGTAAGATTAATCAGAATATAGACCATAATATTGTACTATAATTATGTATGTGATAAATATCATTACATGGACAATCATATTATATAAATGTATCAAGGTAACATGCTGTACACCTTAAACTTACACAAGTATTACATGTCAAATGAATTCAGTAAGAAAATTAAAAGAGGAAGACTGATTAAAATGAAGAAATGTGTACTTGGATGAATGGGTAAACACTCGGTGTACCTTAGCAGAGGAGCCGGTTGCAGAAGGAAAACTACATTGACCTCACTCTTTTGAAGGGCAAGTTAGAGACCCCTTCAGCCCTGGAAACCTGTCATGTAACGTGTATTCCTGACTCCCTTTAATCTTATAAATACTGACTGGGAGGTGTTGGTGACATCTTGGCAATTACAATGAAGTTAAGAGATTTTTTTAAAAAATGTTTTTGAGAGAGAGAATGAGCAGGGTGGTGGTGGTGTAAGGAGCAGAGGGAGAGAGAGAATCTTAAGGAGGCTCCATGCCCAGAACAGAGCCTGATGTGGGGCTTGATCTCAGGACCTTGAGATCATGACCTGAGCCGAAATCCAGAGTCCAGGCACCCCTGAAGTTATGAGATTTAAATGAGGTCTCAACTGTATATCCTCAAAAATATCAGTATGTTCACTCATGCCTGTTGGCATGGAGTAAAGACTGAATATTTAAATAGTGTTGGTTTCTGGAAAGAATTTGTATCAGGTGTTTACAGCTCTGCTGATCATGACCATAAGGAACTAGGTTGGCTCTCTATAAGCCCAAAGAATACAAGCCTACTTCTTACAGAATATTTTCTGGGCATCCTGCGGTGAAATCTGAACTACATATGTATGCACTTGCCAAGGGATTTTATATGAAATGGTAGAATAAAAGAAACCTGCCCAAATCTCATTAAGATCTCAAATATTTGAAAAAGAAGGTCTTATGAACAGTCACCTGATATTGCTCTACTTGCAGCATACATCCTGCAATTTCATTTTAATCCTATTATTTCCCATTATTCTGCACCCAGAAATTATAAAGGAGTGAGTTATATTTCTATAAGTTTCAAGCTATCAGTCATTTGGAGGTTTTTCTCCTAGAAAGAGACAGGTCATATACTATTTAGTTGTGGACTTGGATCTTTTATGAGATTTTGCTAAAATAAGGATTCAGAAGGCAACAGAAGTGGGAACTCAGAGGATTGAGAGAAGAGTGCAGAATTCAAGCCTCATAAAATAAAGGAATCACACCTACACTAGCATTACAAGCAGGTTATTCAGAAAGTACTTTATATCAGCAATTAGAATAATTTATGGCTTTCTCCCTACACTGCCCGGCCATCGGTCTAAGCAGAGGATATGCTATTTCTCAATTCCCAAGTATTTGAATTATGGAAATAGATGGAATGAACCAATTCTAAGGAAGGAGGAAGACAGGTGTTTCCTATGTGGTAGAAGAGAGGAAGGCAGCTGAATCCCAGCCCCTTGGTGGCAATGATTTTATCATCAGACCTGCCCTTCCCGGTTCATCTGGAGGGTAGAGTGCTTCCAAGTCCCCTCTATGCACAGCTCTATACCCTGCAGTTGGCAGCTTAAGTTCACCAAGAGGCTTCAATGAGGACAGAATCCAAAACCACGTTCTCCAAAAGTAGAGATGATTTCAAGACACTAAATAAATACACTCCATTTGTCCTATAGTCAACCTTCTCCAGCTTCCCAGGAACCTTTAAAAGCAATTTAAATGGTCATAAGGCACTAAATGTTCTGAACCACTCTCAGACATCATCAATTTATTCCTCATGTACATTTGAGGCTATCTGAAAGCTATTTAAGGCAATTTTTAAAAAAGTTTGGGACATGCTCCTTCTAAGGGCCAAGATGGCCTTTCACTCGTGCCAAGTGTTATGACTAGCTTTGGTTGGCTTTTTAGAAGTTTCCGCCTTTTTTGCCTTCTAAAATATTTTAACTTGCTGGGACGCCTGGGTGCCTCAGTTGGTTAAGCGCCTGCCTTCGGCTTAGGTCATGATCCCAGGGTCCTGGGATAGAGCCCCACGTCGGGCTCCCTGCTCAGCGGGAAGTCTGCTTTTCTTTCTCCCTCTCCCTCTGCTTGCTCTCTCTGTCTCTCTCTCAGATAGATAAATGAAAGAAAAGAAAAGAAAAGAAAGAAAAGGAAGAAAGAAATACAACTCGCCCTATTTTGGCAGCTCCTAGTAATAGGCCTCCAGGCCTTTCCACTGGTTTTAGAAACCTAGTTACACTTCAGCACAACACAACTGATGACCAGATGCCTCTCTGACTTGGAAGGGAAGAAAACAGCCATTAGTTATCAACAGAGCTGGGGAAGCCAGGGTGGAAAGCTCTGTATAGTCATGCTCAACCCTTCTTCCTCTGCAGCTGACGATGGCAGTAGGTTGTCAGAAAGAACACAAGCACGGAATCAGACAGACATGAGTTTGAATCCCAACCTTACCTCCTACTTACTGGCTGCTGGTGGGTAAGTTTCTAAACCTCTGAGCTCAGTTTCTTATTCTGTAAAATGGGAATGGTAATACAGAGGTTTTGAGAAGATGACAGATAATGCAAATAAAGCACTTCTTCTCTAATTTATGATAGACCTGATGATGAAATTGACTCCCCTGAATTATTTCTGTAGTCTGCTGGATCCCAAGGCTCACAAAAGGCTTTTTGAAAAAGACAGATCAATTCCCCAGGTGGCTGGCTCCCTTTCAGGAATGAATCAACTGATGGCAGAAAGCTTGCCTCCCAGGCTGGGACACCAGGGTGATGGGTTCTCAGGGCTCTGACTTCCCAGGGGTGCACACAGCAGGTAAGACCCGAAACATACAACCCTTTCCACCTGGCAAATTTCCCTGCAGAGCCCTCATTCCCCAGGGGGACGTTAACCAATGATAAGCCTTAGAGACAAGTTTCTCGCATTCCTGAGTGCAGTCGACGCCAGAGACACTCCTGTAGCTTCGCGTCCTTTGTAATCTGACAGTCCATCTCTGGGAACTCCCTGTCCCGACCTGGGGTTCAGAATCCATTCAGGTGGCCTGCCAGCGTTGGCTCACAGTGGAGACGGGGGCCCCTCCCAACAGGGACAGAACAGGTGAAGAGTCTGATGATACACGCGGCGAAATTCAGGGGCTTCACCACGTTTCTAGGCTGCACCCCTCTCACCTTCAGTTCTGCCCAGATAGGTGAAAACTTCACACTGTCCATGTCGGTGGTAAAATGAGGATCTCGTCCACTGACCTGTCAAGAATGCCACCTGCACTTAACAGCAGACTTCCTTCTTTTGGTTCCCTGCTTCTGTTTCCCGTCACCGAGTTGCCTACAGTTTCCTGTTTTCCTTTTTTGCATCCTACCATCTAGTTCAAGACTGGCATGGGGAAGGAGCACTTAGAATATGCTGGACCAGTCATCATTCACTAAGCAAAACCCTATGACTTCATCAACTCATTCTTTCAGCAACTCTATACTGAATACCTACTTAGCGCATGCCTGACTGTCCTAGGGGTTGGAGTGGGTAGGCAACCAGGACAAAGATCCCTGTCTTTGTCAAGTTTCATCAGCTTCACACCAACAGTGACTGAATGAGACCACTTGGCCCTGTGTCTCTACTCTGACGCCATCATGCAATTAGCTCAATTCTGACACTATCTACCTAGAGGTAGCATCAG